CTTGGTCCACCATACGGGTGATCTTATCATAAAAGGAAATCAGGTTAGTTAGGCAGGACCCTACCCTTCACAAACCCATGCTGGCTGGGACCAATGACTGCTTTGTCCCCCAGGTGCGCCTCAATAAGATTGAGAACCATCTTCTCCATGATTTTACCAGGCACTGACGTGAGACTGACAGGCCTGTAATTGCTAGGGTCTTCTTTCTGACCCTTCTTGAAAATCGGCACAACATTTGCCAGCTTCCAGTCTACCGGGACCTCTCCAGACTCCAGGATCGTTGAAAAATAATTGAGAGAGGTTCCGCGATGATGTCCGCCAGCTCTTTCAGCACCCGGGGATGAATCCCATCCGGACCCATGGACTTGTAGGGATCCAGGTGGAGTAGCAAATCCCGCACACGTTCAGGGTCGGTTGGGAGTTTGTCATCCCCACCGTCCCGGTCCTCCAGCTCAGGGCACCCTGGGTCCCAAAGCCCATCATTGGCATTGAAGACAGAGGCAAAGAAGGCGTTAAGCGTCTCTGCTTTGCCTATGTCATTGTCTGTGAGGAGACCTTCCCTATCAAGGAGCGGCCCTATGTATTCTTTAGTTCTCCTTTTTCCATTCACATATCTAAAAAAACCCTTTTTATTTTCTCTCACAGACACAGCCAGCTTCAACTCTAGGTGTGCTTTAGCCACACGAATTTTCTTCCTACAAACACGAACAGCATCCCTGTATTCTTTCCATGTCACCCGGCCCTCCTTCCAGTAGCGAAACACTCTCTGTTTCCGCCTAATCTCCGTAAGAATGTTCCTGTTCAGCCACGCCGGCCTCCTGCCGCGCCTGCCTGACTTGCGGTATTTAGGAATTGCCTGTTCTTGTGCTATTTCCTCCTGGAAAGCTAAAATCTATAGATCCAAGAATCAGTCTGGATTGTGAAAGAGGGAGAAAAAAAATTACAGCATGGGAACTCAGAAGGTGCTGTAAATGGCTATCAGGAAGAGCTTCTTCACCGAAAGAGTTGTCGCACACTGCAACCGGCTCCCCAGAGACACAGTCATGGTACCAAGCCTGCCAGAGTTTAAGAAGTGTTTGGACTGTGCTCTTAGTCATGTGGTCTGAATTTTTGGGTAGACTTATGTGGTGCCAGGAGTTGGACTCGGTGATCCTAGTGGGTCCCTTCTAACTCGGGATATTCTATGATTCTATGAACACAGAGTATTAGTCATTTGGAGATTGTCTTGGGGTCTGCTACTTCACTTTGTGTATGGTTGTTTCCAGAAGCTACGACTTGACAGAATATAGATTTTTTTTTAATCTCCTACGCTTGGGATTTGAGATCAGTAAAAGTCCAAACAACTGTAATTGTTATTCTGCCATATAATCTTTATTTTGTGTTGTTTAAAAAGAGAATATTTTTAAATAATGAGAAATTTGCACTTAAAGATTTTGCAAGAGCTCATAATTCTTTGCATTATTAAATAAATTATTTTGAAGGAAGATTTTTTTTATACAGAATATAATATTTGGTCTCATAAAGTTAGCCTAATAAATAACGAGATACATTTTGTTTTTGTTTTTGATAATTATATTATTTTCAAATATGTGACTGTTTTGATTAATATGCTTATTTTTTATGTACTAAGACACTAAGATGACATGACATCTTTTTTACCTAGTCAATACGAAGTTAGAGCAGTGACTACCAGCAAAGTATAATAAAATGTTTGGATCTTGTTTCATTTCTATTCCCATTTTTCCCTCTAACATGCTGGTTCACACAAACAAATGCAGAGCCAATATTGTGTTGCTGTATACTCAGAATGTGTTAATTAATCTCTCCAGTGATCCTTTAATGGATTAAGATACTTTGCTTCTGAAACCATGTTTTAATTATCATGCAGTCCTTCCTCATGAGAATTATGATTGCTGTGAATGCTTGCCAGCATGGGACACTGAGTTCTTCCATGAGCATGTACCACATCTGTGCTTTTCTTGTCTTTATCTCTTCCCTTCCTTTTTCTTAGACAGAGCCTGGTTAATAGAGCCAAGGAAGGTCCAGAAGCTTCAGGAAAAAATATACTTTGCACTTCAGCATGTGATCCAGAAGAACCATCTTGATGATGAGACTTTGACGAAGGTAAATTGTTAAAACAAGGAGCCAAGCACTCCTCAGTCACGTGTCTCTTTTTGTAGCCACTTCTCCATTGCTGCATTTATATACATTAAAATCATCACAACAAATGCTTTCATTGCTGTAATTCAACAGTAAGCATTGCTGTTGCACTCTTCTTCTTGGTGTTGTCTTTCCTCTTAGTTCATATTTTGTTCTATCCATTAATTACTTTATTTGGTATCCTAGAAAGAGTGGGACCACTTTAACAAAAATACCCCTAGAGAAGGTTCCTTGTTAAATACTGTTTTGGCACTTCTCTCAAGTTTCCAGGACAATTGTTTTTATCCTTTAACGGTACTTGAACAGTGGTCTTATACAAGGTCTGGGTAGGTAGTTTTGATGGAGTTCAGGATATTGCATCCAGTTAACCAAAAAGATACTATATTAGTTCACTCTGGAAACTGTAAGTTATACTAAATTTATTTCCTCCCTGTTCCTTTTCTTCTTATTTTAATGTCTCACAGTTAATAGCCAAGATACCAACCATTACTGCACTTTGCAACTTGCACGGAGAGAAACTACAGGTATTTAAACAGTCTCATCCAGATATAGTGAACACACTGTTTCCTCCCTTATATAAGGAGCTTTTCAATCCAGACTCAACCACTGGCTGCAAGTGAAGGGGATAATAAAATTTTCACGTAGTCATGGAATGCATCACTGTTAAGACAAAAAGAAATGTTTTCATAATGAACTTATTAAAAATGTCACTACTCCAACACTAGGAATGTTCTGCACTTAATAGAATTATTTTTCACCGCTACAGTTTGAAGAATGTAAATATGCAACTCTGAGTGGGGATGTCCTTTTTCTCTTTTCTTTGTTTTTGTTTTTGTTTTTTTTTTTTAACTGACTATGAGTATAAAATATAGTACACTGGGTGTTACCTTTTTTAAATTTTATTTTATTGGGATATGTTTTGAGAGACAACTGTTCATAGAATTTTATTGTAGATATAAATGAGAATAGAGCAGTACTTTGCAGTATTACTCTTGCTGTTTATTGTTCAAATATAATTTAAGAAAATTCCACTTATTAGACTTGCCTATTTCTATGTTTTTAGATAGTTTAATGCATGTGGAAATTTGTAGCTGTCTTGGAAATTATTGTGCGTGTATGAAATACGTATATATATGTATATGTGCTATATACTTATATATATATATATGTATGTATTATATGCATACATGCTGTAGCTTAAAAGTCCCATGCCTACTTTTAAAGGATGCTCAGCCAGGCTGTCATGCATTTCTTGCTCTCCAAGTAATGTATTAGATTTATTTTGGGCAATCACAATTTACTTTGCCAGTCAGAGTTAAATCATCAACTGCCAATGTGTAATGACAGGATCACTCCTGAGACGTGTAATGTAGTGCATGTGTGCAGTCTGTAAATGAAACATCAGGAATGTATCAATGGTGCAAAAGCCTTGTCTGGATGATTTTAGTGGAGAGAAGAAAAGCTTTTTTGGAATTCTCCCTGTCACAGGGATACAGCATATAAAAAAGTGAACGTTTTAGGACATGATGTCATTGAAGTGTCTGAAGCACTGAATAAAAATCTAGACTGTCCCACCCATACATTTTTCTGATTCCGCAAAGGATTTTATTTTATATATACTTCTTTGAAAAGTAATTTCAAGACTTGGCTTGGTTTTTGCTTACCTCAATGGAAAGACTTAGTGAACTCAGCAAAAACCATAGGAAGCCTAAAATGTAGCTCTGAGGGAGGGAGGAGGAAAGTCAAAGCAAGCAATGGCCATGGTTACAAAGATGAACATAACTATCGCTATTTCTGACGTAGCCTCATCTAGATGAGACTGATGGTTTCCATTCCACATATATGTTACATGCACATACACTTACGTGTGTATATATATACACATACATAGGGATGATTTTATGCTCTCTTCAGGAGGCAAGCAAAAGATTCAGGCTATCTTTTTGTCTCTCCCTGAATTGATTTTATGTGCATTTATTTGTTTGCAAAACCGAAGGTAAACATAGGAGGAAGTTAAGAAGCATAGACTACTACAAACCTAAAGTTGGGGATTTATTAAATTTAATTGCAGTCATGATTAACATATTTGGAGTCTACCAGAGATAAAAAACATAAACTTTTTGCCTGTGGAAGAACAGGTATTCAATTCCTGTCATGGCTCTGTCTTTAATGTCACTTCTACCTGTTGTGAGCTTTTCCTGAGAAGGCCCTTCAGGGGACACCAGCAGAGGAACTAGAACAGAAATAAGAGGATGCAGAAATAAGTGAAAAAGAAATGAAGCAAAGGCAGGGCAAATAAAGAAAAGCAGATGCATTTCTTTATTTCAAATCACATTGAAGGCAATGCAAGCTGAGGCCTGGTGAGGAGGAGCATGTTGGCAGGCAGGCTGAAGACCCCACTGTCTGCCAGGTCACTCCCAGAGCAGTGCTCCTGGGACCAGTGGGGACACAGCTGGGCCTTATGGTGGGTGCAGAAACTTGGCTTGTGGCAGTGATAAGCTTAAGTCCTCTGGCTTTTCCAGGAGACCACACTGCTCCTGTCTCAGTTCAATGCTCCGTTTTCTGCATCATCTAGTAATTCAATGCCTATTTCAGATAAAATTGATATGGCCAGCCCTCCACCAACCAGTTTGCAAGTATACATACACTGTTTTAGCTCTCCCAGACCTGATACAAGAGCAGTTATGATCTCACAGCTAATAAATATTTAAGTCCATTCCAACTTATATGTATATAACCTGCACAAGCTAGTTAGTTGTGCTGAGAATAATTTTATTGTGAACATGACACAATCTTCCAAATTACTAGGTCCTATACAAAATAAATCTCTAAAACACCTTTTTCTTCCACCAAATTCAGAGCATGTTTTCTGATTATTAAATTGATATGTCTTCAGTTAACATGGTAAAACATTGCTCTTGATGCTTCTTTACAGCACTTAGTAAACCCTGACTGGCATCCTCTTAGAAGGTGATTTATCTGCTTGCAGCAAAGCTGTGAATAGGACTCCAAATTCCACCTCTTTCTAATATCAAAAAAAAAAAAAAAAAAAAAAAAAAAAAAAAAAAAAAACTAACCATATTTATGCATGGTCAGCTTGAACGTACTTGGAAAAAAAAAAAAAAAGTCAAACTGAATCCCACAAGAGCTCAATTTTAAGTGCAGGGGATTCATGTTTTTCTTCTCTTTTTCAACAAGAACATATCTATCTATCTATCTATCTATCTACTACCTATCTATCTATTCATTTGAAGTCTTTTATAAACTCATTTTCTGTATAAGTATCATATTTAGCTAAGCACCAGGATATAGAATGTGATGAATATTACTGTTCTTATTGTTGATAAATGAAGTTTATTATGTTTAGAAACAATCCACAGTTATGCATTACATCTTGAAAATATTTTATTCTTTTCAAATAAGCTAATCAGTCTTTAGCTGACATTATGACTTAAGCAGGATGGCAAAATGGACATCACCAGTGAAAATGACATATTATTTAGTAATTATCCATGGGGAATTTCATCCTTAAAGCGCTATTCTTTAATCACTGCAATCTCTTGACCTCTTCAGTAAAATTTGACCAAATCATTAAGGATAACCCTTTTCTAAAGATAAAGAAATGAAGATAAAGAAGTTAAATGACTTACCAGAAACCACAGAGGTAGCAGTGTACAGTCTGGGGTGAGAAATGGATTCTTTCCTTTTGTCGTAAAACCATAAAGAATCTGGTATGCAAAAATCCTCGTTGTCATTGATAGGCAATAGCCTGTACAAACAATTACAAATATTGCTGAACGAATTATTATCTTAAAACAATAACTATCAATAGCTTGTTCTAATTTTGTTTCTACTTTTACAGAATTTGAGGAAGTAATTCTGTTATTTATTTGAAAAACAGAAAATTATTCTCATACATTATTTATTTGTGCTAATTAGAGTTGATAACATTTATTTAATTTTCTGTGATTTTGGACTGGCCACATAGGTCAAGTAGTACTTCTCCTGCCCTTTGTTAACTGAGTATAGAATAACAAAAAATTACCACATGCTACAGGCTGGATTTTTGTTGTCATTGTTGATACAAAGTCATTTGTACACAAATTCTCAATATTGGATTTTGTACGTTCCAGTTATCCAAGTAAATAATCACATAGACCACTCACAAAATGCATTTCAGACAATATTGAGACAATATTGGTGCAATGTTTTATTTCTTGTTAGCTTTCATTAGTCTGCAATAATATCTGGAGCCCTTCAGTCAAATCTTTAGAACTGGAACTTGTCACATCTGCTCCGTGTAGTAATTGGTTACGTTTGTTAATATTTTTAGTGACAAGCTCATCACACAGGACACAATTTTTAATGATTGATGAATTCTTGGTATTTAACAAACAGATATTTAAAACATATATTGAATCTTCTAGAATTGCTTTCAGATAATTGAACCACATTGATCTAAATTTTCCTTGGCATCAAGCAGGCAGATGTAGACTGTTTGTTATACTACCACAGAGACTTCACTTTGGTGTAAATGTCACTCTAGCCAGCTCTTTGAATAAAGAATTAATTCCAAGAGTCATATTTTCTTCTAATGGAAAGAATGCTTTAGTGATTGCTAGGGAAAAAAATAAAATAAAATAAAATAAAAAAGAAAAAAAATCAACATAAAAAAACAAGGTAATAGAAGGCATTCAGTTGAACCAACTAGTTTCCAAAAAACAATGTGTATTTTAAGATTGCTTTGTGATAGGCAACATTTAGGAATTGATTTTGCAAGTTGCCAAGCTCCCTGAGCTCTAACTAGGTCTGCTAAAAACAGAGGCATCTCAGCACCACACAGAAGGTGCTCAACTCCTCACAAAGTCAGACCTTTGATGTTAAGAGGTCCCCTTTGAGCTTTGTGGAGCACAGTCAGATGTCATCATACTTGCTCTTTAATGCTTTTCCTTCACACTTGCTGCTGTTCATTTTTGCTTCATTTCACAGGGACCAGTTTATTCTCTCAGTTGTGCCTTGAGCACCAATGCTGTCTCAATGTCTGTGCAAGGTTATGGTGCTCCAGTTGAAGCAGCTACTGGGTTTGCCTGTGAATATAAGCTTTATTATATGACTTTCTTTGTTCGTTTTAATGGTAGCAGCTTGCACAGGTGTACACTTTAATCCTTTGGGTTAATTTTGCTGGTATTTCTGACATACAAACTTCTACACAAAGAGGATGCAAAGCTGAGCAAAGCTCACATGCTGGCCCCTCAACCTCCCACCACTGGGCTGTAGGAGCTGCTCCAAGGCTGGAGCACTCTGCAAAGCAGTCAGGCAGCACAGCTAGAGAAGTGCAGCTGATTATTACATTCCCCACTGTAAAGCTGTGCTACAAAGCACAGATGAGACACATCCAGGCCCCTTGCATCTTCCTTCCCTCTGACTCTGCATTGATTGTGCCATTTCCAGAAGGACCAAGGTCCAGCCTGGAAGCAGATTATTTTCAGAGCCATTGTCTATTAGACATCATAGGAATATAGCACTGCACAATTGGACCAAACTGAAACATGGCACAATCTTTTTTAAGTACATGTGAAATGGAAACCTGAGATGGCTTTCTTTTCCTGACAGTAACAGAGTATACACACCTACCAAGCTATCCCAGCACTTTCTGCCTCCATTCTGGAGACTTACTTCTATCTCTGATATCCATTACAAGCAGCATGTTGGAGACCCAGTCCTTTCTTTTTTATGTTTCATGCTTTGTAAATGACAATCACTGCTTGATGCAGATATTGCACTGTATGCCACTCAGGGATGTTTCATTATTAAAACTAGCTATATAAGTATAATGGTGATAATGAGGAAGAGAACACTAGAGGCTTTGAAGGGCAGTGGTTGAGCTGCCCAAATGAGCACAACCCAGACAAGGCTTTCAAGCCAGTGAAATAATATTGTTATAAACTGTTATAAACTGAATTCACTGTCAGAGTTTCCTCAGCTTGGTGCAGGATTCACTTAACCTATTGTTTCACAGTTAGTGGAGCACTACTGACCGGTCAGTTTATGGTGTTAAGTCCTTTTGGAAACAAAAATGCAAGCAAGCTCTCTATGAGTTACTGAATTTAGGCAATTGACAAAAGAAAGTGCTGTTTAAAGGTACTGAGTTTAGGTACCGCTAAAGTGAGCTCATATTCAGAATTGCTGCAGGTGTGTAAGACAAAAGGTTAAGATGTGGAATAAATGATAATGTCAACAATGACAGCAACAGTTTTGCTGAGCTACCACATGGAGAAATGCCTATAAAGATCGAATAGTAGAAAATTAAGTGGCTAACAGCTGCCCTTTCCTCTCAGGGATACACAAAGTCACAGCTACCCCCAGGCCTTTGTAGCAATGCTTCTCCATAACATCACCAGTCCTTTTCTCATCCCAAGGGTAAAAAAATAAATAAATAAATAAATAAACAAACAAATAAATAAATAAATAAATTCAACTTTTAAACTGCATTGGTGAAAAAACTCCCATTTCCTAGTAATGAGAGATGAGAAATGCATTTCTGCTAATCCCTAGTTTTACTAGCTTTCCACTAAATATTTTCATAGACCTACCTTTACAAGAACTCATACAAAAAGGTACATTTCAGGGGATTATCTTGCCAGCCATTGATTTAATTTCATTTCTCCAACCAATAGGTTTTCCTCAGCTCACATAATGACCATTGTTGCTATTATTTTAGTGAGTATGTATTAATTTTTACCCTTTCCATCTTCTGAAATCACTACACCTAGAGATGGGTGGGCAACCACATCAGGAGTTGGAAAGAGGAGGCCAATATCCCTATGCATAAAGGCTTTCATAATATTATTCTTCACTGTCCCTATCCCATGGCAACTTTAGTTTCAATTTTCAGGTTGCTGGGAGCCATGTCTAAATGGCTAAAATTCTTGCTAGCATGATAACTACCCATTAAAAGAACAATCTTCTGGCCAAAGAACCTTGCCTCTCTTTTCTTCTCCTTTTACTCTTAGTTCATAATGAATGAGGCCTGGAGTGCTGTATGACTCACTTTTGCTCTTTCTCAAAGATGACGTTCACCTGCAGTCTGCAAGGAAGGCTGCACCCAGTAGACAGGAAGCAGGTTCCTTCCTCCTCTTCCTCCCAGCCTCCATGTCCTCATTTAGCTGTACCTTCTCTGCCTGTGTTGTCCCCAGAAGTCAGACTTATGGGAATAAACCCTAAATTTACCATCCCAGAAATGGTCTGCAACAGACCACTTAACTAAAAGAGCCAATTGTATATGCAGTCTAAACTGCAGACAAAAACTGTTGCGATGTAAAATTTCTCCAGTGGTAACTCATGGATCAGTAACTCACTTAAAAAGGCAGCCCAAATGTTCAGTGACATAATGGATGTGTCAGTGTCATGTAAACCATCCTTCCGTTTTGTGTGTGCTGACAGAATAAAGCAATGCACAAAACACACGGGGAAAGGAAGGATATTTCCTGGGTATTACGGCAGGCAGTGAGGGTAATACTGCTCACAGTGATTTCAGTAACACAATGTACTACATTTGCATAATTCCATCATCCTCATAATTCAAGCACAGTACATGGGGAGAGAAAGAAAACATCATTGGATATAGCAGCAATAAATAAATTATAAGTGTTTCTTTGTAATCATACATGCAGAAAATGTTTGCTTTGCACGTGATCTTCTGTAGAATAACATAAAGAAGAAATCATCCAATGTAGATACCACAATTTTTTTGCATATTTGTTGGAATTGTTGGGTGGAGCTGCTAATTTGTGATCGAAGATACTGCTGTTGGGAAAAAAATGTATGTGCTTCAAGAAAAGGCTGAGACCCTTGTTTATGGCTATACATTGGCAACAGTAAAGTATGTTCAATATAAAACTCTTTCTGGACAGAATGAAAGAATCGTCTCCTAATTTTCAATATTGTGATCACGTTGGTCCCTTATTATTTGACCAATGAAAAACTGACTGCATGGAAAAACAAGCAGGGCCAGATGGGCAACTGCAAAGAACAGGCTTTACCTTGAAGACTGTTTCAGACAAAACCAGCTTATTTAAAATTAAAAAATAAAAATAAAAATAAAAAAAAAAAAAAAAAAAAAACAAATAAAAAAGCACTTATACTTGTCTTGATTAGACACACAGCTTAATAAGTCAAAGTTACTACATTAGGCTGTCAGCTTCTATGGGGATTCCGATTCAGATGCACTACAGTTGTGTTTTTTTAATGTGTCACTTCAATGTCAAAATCAGGCAAAAAAGGTGTTTGGTTGTTAATCAGAAATGTTAATAATATGTTACACTACGAAGTGTGGACTACATATTCTCGTGCAGTAGACAGGGATTTATTCATGGACTTATTCTTAAAATTCACTGAGTATCATAGCAAGTGAACTAGTGGTGGTAGTCTTTGCCTCATGCAATGTGTCCTCTGGTAGGTTACAGGGAGTGAGTGGCTCTGTAATTGTACTTCTGGCCACAAATAAAACACAACAGAATTCTGAGTAAGCACCCAGATAAATCAAACACATGGGGTGTTTTGAGATTTATGCTAATCGCTGTGAGATAATTCCCATGTTAAACTAATTACTAGAGATATAATGAATGGATGGTATAAATATATTAAGAATCAGAATAGCAACAAATCCCTTATTTTACAACTGCACCGTCTGCCTCATCTGATTAACACTAAAGAAAGTTACTTAAAAAATAAACAAACAAAACAAGAGAGAAACCTGAGTATGTATTGTAGAAATGTAGAAGACAAATAAAATATTTTTTCAAATGTAATTACTTTTAATATATGCTTGTGGAAGGTCTAATACTATGTATGCTGTCTCTGTAATTTTTGCTGTATATAACTGGGGACAGTGAATACACTGATTTTTTCTATGTCTCTGTTTAAGCATAAGACTTTGTAATGATTTTTTTTAAAGAGGAAAAACATCAAAGAGCAAATTATGTAATTGCTTCCTATAAGTGTATTGTACTCTTCAGTTTTTATGGAAACTGATTGTAATAGCTAAAGCCTTTTGACCAGCCGTTGATGTTTAGTGTATACTTCTGTTTGTAATGGGGAAAAAAAAAAAAAAAAAAGAAAAAAAAAAGAAAAGATGGGACTGTCAATCAAACCTGCTCCCTGTGAGTCTGTACAGTGAGAATTGTATTAATACCTGCAGACTGCATTTGACTAATGTGATTTGAAGAAAGGTTGATTAAGCTAATAATGTTTCCTTACAGCATATGGCTTTTATGAATTCTTCTGGCATGGATTATATTAGTAGAAACATTTTTTCTTTCCAATGAGCAAAATATTTTTGTATGCTTTTCTTATTCAAATCTGAGGTCAGGTCACTCACTCGCTGTAATCTGAAGCCATAACTGACCTTCACCAAATACTTGTTTCAAAAATCATAATAGAAAATGAAATTATGTCCAATTCATCAGCAACTATAATAACACAGGCAGGAGCATAAATAACACAAAAATTATTTGGATGCTTTTCCTGCATCCCAATGTGACTTTAATGGCTAGTATTTTCTGATTACCAATTTATAAAAAAAAAAGAAAGAAAGAAAGAAAAAAAAAAAAAAAAAAAAAAAAACATAATTAAAATAGATATTTAGATTTAAATGAAGCTTTCTAATATTTTTGAAATATCCCTGCAAATGCTTCCTTGCTTTTAGGATTATGAGAGAAACTGATTTTTCATATACTTCCCACTTTCAAATATGTAATTTTTTTTATTCTATTTCCAGTTCATTTTGTTAGAGTGAAATGAGATGCTAAGACCCAGATCTCCAAGCCCTAAGCTGTTTGGTGCTTGGCTGTAGCTACATTGTTGTAAATCAATTTGATTTGAATTGGAAGGGAGGGGGAGGGTGTGCTACTTGAGAAGTATGCTTACCACTGTTGGTAACACACAAGAGTTGCATTGTCTGAAAAGACATTTGTTAAAAACAGTAACAACAACAACAATAAAATAAAATTAACGCTCAAAATGAATAATTCTGAAAAGCTGAATGAAAATTCCTTTCTAAAATCAAATTCCTCATAGAGTCAACAGTGGGTTGTTTTTTTTTTTGTTTACTTTTGTTTTGTTTTTTTCCTGAAGCTTAATTGTATAATAATTATGATGTATCTTAACTGGCTTGTAGATTGAAAAAGCAAAACCACATATGAGCAATGATATACTGGGTAAAAATCTGGCTTAATTGAAATCAGTGGTAAAACCCCCATTGATTTCTGTGGAACCAGGAGTTCATCCAGCATTTCTACATCTGCAGTTTTCTTCTGATCTTTATCCCTTGTTTAATATAACCGACCTAATTTATGTGTGAGTAAAACTACAGCCTGATTCATTTAGAAAGTGACCGTTGAGGGTTTTATTTTTTATCACAAATTTCCTAGGACCAACATCCCTGTCAAATGAAAAGGTTCTATATTACTTTAGAATGTAATAGATTTTGTCTTATTTTATGTCCTGTAAATTATTAGTTCAATACTGTTAGTATTCCATAATAATGCACACATGATTTTTGAATGTTTTCTGTAAATGACAATCAATGTTGAAGTTCCTTTCTTTAATGCTGAAGAAAATTAAAAAAAAAAAAAAAGCATAAGAAAAAAAAAACTGGTTTGTCACTTTTCTCCCCCTTCCTTTGAATCACCTGGATCTGTCAGGAAGAAGTACTGTGTATGCATTTTCAAAAGACAATAGTAAAAATAAAAACCTAAACATAAAGAGTCTATACTTATTTTCATGATTTCTCTTGACCTATTGAATTAAGTATCACATGTTGCTCTATCGATGCACCAAAAGTGTCTCTGCTTTGCAATTTAAATTATAGCTGCAACTTTTGAATATGCAGATTGTTAGATTTATTCATTTATTTCTCTATTTAATTTAAGGAAGGCCTCACCTAGCAGAAGAACAAAAGACTTAAAGTTAGAGATGCTTGAATTAAGGTAAACTGCACAATGTAACAGCAAGTTATCTAACTGAAAACAAGGTACTGTATTTAGAAGAAATAACGAATGTATATATATTAATTTTATGTATTTCTAATAGTAATTAATAGCAGAAGATGAAACAGAAAATGCTAGCTGTTAAAGCTAAAGATGACACCTTTCAAATATACTATTATCTCATTTTTAGGAGTCTAAATGTAAAGCAGAAGAAAATTTAGAAGACAATGTCTAAGACCTGATATTGCACTGTTAAGCATACACTTAAAAGCAGCTACACGTTTAAATGTTCCTTAAATCATGATGCCAGAATGCAAGTTTGGGTTCTGAGGTGCAATAAGTGCATCTTAGCATAATTAGATTTTCAAGTCCTAGACATTTAAGACTCATCCAGAGATTTTGTATCCATCTGAAATTATTTCAGATAAATCTAATAATGACTTCACATATAACCATCTATGTTTCAGATATCATGAAGTGTGAACAGTTTTCTAGCCAAATTAAAAAATTGGATTATTTTATTTATGTGTTCTAAAACACAGAACTCTCTAAGTATGCTGGTGGTATTTGAATAACCACTGTTACAGTGTCACAGGTGTTTACTTTATAATAACCTGTATTTTTTTCAGTTAGAAAATCAGAAACGATGTAGTTTAAATCAGTATTAGCAGATACTGGTGTAGATACTGGTATTTTGTTATTGTTTGGTTGTCTATGATATTTTAGACTATCTTGTCTTTCTAGTGAGCCTAGGAAGAAAAGTTTTAGTAAAATATTTTCTTTTCCTGAGATACAGAAACAAACTTTTGTAGGTACTGACTGGCAAATAGTACAGTGATGGACACTTTGTGAGGAAACAATATTTGTAATCAGAACACTATTTTGAAATGCAGTTATGTGAAAGTCTTTCAGGGCATGGCTCACTACTCTGTCATGTCAGTTCAATGTCAGTGCAACTCCATTGTCCAGGCCATGTAACTCCACAAATAGATCTATTCATACATGCATGAACCATTTATTTTATACATTTTGTAAATTTTAGCTTCTGAAACATAGATGATGATACAGATTAATATAAGCTTTCAGGAAAGAAAACAGTGAAGTGCTTTAGATAGTACAACATGAAATAACAATCACTGTCTGTCCCAGAAAGATTATACACTTACAAGTGCTCACTTAATTACATGCTCATGCAAATGTCTAGATCATCAGGTGATAACTTGCCACATACTTTAAGCACCATCTTCATTACAGGAACTGTCTCATGAAATATGATAACTCAAAAATCGTTCAACATCTTTACTGGGTAAATCAAAATCTGGTTAAGCTATTTTTCTGCCTCTTTCTCTTCTTCTTATGCCTTCACTCTTCACTTCAATTCCCCACCCTTCCCCGACGAGAAATCTTAAAAATAAAAAATAATTAAAAAAAAAAATCCTTTGAAATCTGGATTGCCAGTGGTTTGGGAAGGACAAAGACTGATTTGTTCTGATATAGGGGCTCGGAACCCAGAAGGCTTTCAATTATATTGAACATGCTGCTCAGGAAGGTTGTGGAGTCTCCTTCCATGGAGATGTTCAAGACCCGTCTGGACACCCACCTGGGCAACATGCTCTAGGGAAACTGCTTTGGCAGGGGCTTGGACCCAATGATCTCTTGAGGTCCCTTCCAACCCCTACAATTCTGTGATTCTGTGAACAGGCTAAAAATAAATAAATAAATAAATACTTTCCCCTACAGATATTCATTAAAACTGTTTAGCTATGATTCTCAAAAAGTCAGAGCAAATCTTTAATATGGATGTTCTATCTGTAAAGAATCAATTGAACAGAAGGGTGTGTTGGTCTTGATTACATTGCTCATGGGCCTCCTCCATGGACTTGCTGGACCTCTACATGCTGCTCCTTAAGGTGTTAGGTCTCTCATAGCTCTCCCCAGCACATGGACACTTTGGATAATCTAGAACAACAGCATGAAACTACGTGGTGGTGTTTTAGGTGTTCATAGTGTTCATATAGACAGTTTAGTTGTGTAAAATGCATACTTCATACGGAAGCCTAGAATTTTGCATGTATAAAAAAGTAAACAGATTAAGTACCATCTGTGATTTAGAAATAATTGTTGCGATTTCCCTTCAAAATTGCCACAAAAGTAAATGCAGCACTGAGCTTAAGAGATTACTTCCATGAGCAGCAGATTCAGTCCAACCCTAATAAAGCTGGTGTACACACTGCTTCCATTTCAACTAATTAACCAACAGCAATTTTGTGCAAATGTTGAGCTTGTCTGGAATTTCTTCAGATTAAAGAAAACCTTTCTTTATCACAGGGCTTTAAAAACTGTTTCCTCTATCCCCTTCTGTTTTGTTATATTTTGGAATTCAAAAATGCATTCAGTTACTGTGAAAGAGCCATGAAAATTGCAATAGCAGTTGATTGGCTTTGAAACACTCCTCTAAATGACTCAGTAATGGACATAGTCCAGGTTTTATATATACTTTGCTTCCTTCTGACTGCTGAAGACCAAGCACTGTGAAGTTTTCAGCTGTGAAGTCTTAGTAAATGTATTTTGGAGTTACTCCCTTACCAATAAAAAATTCCTGTCAGGTTAAAAGTCAGATTTCTCATTTACTGGGATTGTAGTTGATCCCTTATGTTTCTTCTGAGGCAATGCAACACACTCAGTATCACTATGATATCAAATGGGAGGTAAGAAGGCTGGTGTGAAGGTAATGATGTGATGCTCATTCTATCTTCACCTTCTTTAACTGGCCATGCTGCCCTAATCAACATGCTCACCCTCTCACTACAAAAAAAATATTTTTTTTCCAGGTTACAAAATAGTTTTGTGCACAGTGCTTCCTACTAGGTGTCTCTGGAGCCACTCCCAGCAGATGCGCAGGGTAATACAGGATTTCTCACTTTTGTACAGTCTTTGTATTTGCCTGCTACAAATACTGAATAGCTTGCACTGCAGGGCAATTCAAAAAGGGAAGTACATTTCAGGGGCACTCCACTATTTCTGTCCCTTAGAAAGGTTCTTTGCCATTATCCCTTCTCTTCTCTACCCTCCCTGCCTTATAACAGAAGCGAGGTTGAAGGCCATGCTTTTAAGGAGTCCCAGTAGAGTCCAAAGCATTAACTTGTGTGCACCTTTTAAGCTCATACCCAATCCAAAGAAATCAATACCTCTTCCATGTGCTTAAAGCTAGTCATGTGCTTAAGTAACCATCTGAATATAGCTATCCCAGCAGCTTGAGGAAGTGCGGAATACTTTACCAGCCAAAATCTATACAGAACAAAAATGTTATTTTAATGAATTATAATTTTTCTCTTCATGAACTAAATCATAATAATATTATACAGCTAATTGAGAGGCCTACTGAAAAAATTAGAACAATAGCAAGTTTAAGCAGCATGTTTTGGGCACACTAGTTGTGATCATTGATTACTGCTATCATTTTAGGTAAGCAGATGACTTGGCATCTGCATATCTGTTTATCTATTTCTTGGCACTTTTTAGGTATATGTACTGTCTTCATCTTTACCGTAAGGTTTCCAGATGTTATCAAATCAGTCTATATTTTCTTGGCAAAGTCCGCATCTCTTGCTGCCATCTGTGATACTAATGAAATCCACTCTGTTGCTCTCTGAGGTGAGTTATTTTTCCAGTGTCCCAGAGTGACTTGCTATGTGCAAGTCAGTCTGAACTGTAACAAAATTTCAATCTTTAAAAGGAAAATTCTGCAATCCTGTCATATCACTGAAAAAGCACCCTGAGAAGCCGTGGCTGTTTGTAAATCTGGATTTAAAGCTATCACTCTTAACCTTCAATACTGCATGCAAAAAGATATCCAGTTCTACTGAATTCACACCATTTACATTTTCTCCAAAAAGTAGTAAAGCATAGGTATTATGCCTTTTACAAATGACTCAGTGGCCCCTAAACATCACTGAACTAAACTAACAGATTTTAAAATCCTTGCATGGAATTGGAAAGTCAAATTTGTTATTTTCATTTTAGTTCAAAAACATTCAGTGAATGCAATCAAATAAGCTTTGCATTTTCAAAGGTGTCTTCAGCCCCTAGGAAAAGATATTGTCCAGCAAAAGCTGTTTAAGATAATATGTGACAGATGTTAATAAAAACATATAATCAAAAAGAGTGACAAAAGTATTAGGTTTAGTGCTCTTTCAATGAAAAATATATTTTTCTGTAGGCACAGTTTTTCTGTGAGGAATATTGCTATAAAAGGCAACAAAGAAGAACAGAAAAAAAAAATTAAAAAAAAAATAAAAAAGAGAAAGAAACATCTTTTCATTAAAAAGAAAATGGTGTCTTTATGATATTCTATGGAAAGACTAAGAATTGGAACAAACACCACAGAAGGCTGATAACAGAAGTTCCACTTAAACTTCCTCAGTCATTTAATGGCTGCACAGAACTCAGTGTGTATTATAAAATGTGACCAAAAATGCATCCATCAAGTGCTTGCATCAACAGCACAGGGAATAACACTAATTTTTCTATTTTAAATTTACAGACCACAATTTAGTACCACTTGAACTAATGGCTGGTCTCAAATAGGAGAGTGTGAGGCATTAAAAGCTTATGTCATTATCTATTTAGGCTGTTTCCCGAGAGGTTTTCTTTCCAGTGCTGTGTTGAACTTGGACCTCCGCTAGAGCTACTCTAACATTCTTTCCAATGCAAGGCAGTGTTGCAACATAGGGAGTCCTTGACACACTGCCCTCTATTGGAAAGATCAACTATTTG